TCCAATATCTAAAATATGATTGAGCCAAGATTCAACCTAGACCCCTATCTTCATGGCTACACGCAACTTTCTCCTGACCCCTGGCTCACTGCCTGAGGCCCAGGATCATCTGCTGGGTCTCAGGAACGAGGCCCCAAGGACTCAGAAAGGTGGCAGAGCATGGAGACCCAGGTCAGTCAGGGAGAGCTAAATCACTCTCCTGTGGGGAATGAGGCCCTTAGTGGTCTACATAAGTGACACTCCAAAAGTAAATATGGGGCAGCCCTATTTGATCCTTTCTCTAATCCAGAAAAGTAGATATAAATATGAAATGAAGAAGGGAAGTAGGAGAGACTGGGAAGTGAATAGAAATTGAGAGGTATCCTCTTTCTCTCTGCCAGCAATAAGCTGAGTTTTCTTCTACACCAACCTTCATTCTCCATGGCATCCAGACAAAGTCTCAAGAAAAAGGCTTTAAGAAGTGATCTAATTAAAAAAGCTACTCAGGAATAGTGGCCACATGCCACCAACTAGTGCCCTGGACAAGGGATGCCCCCTGTTCCTGGGACTTCTTAACTTAGCCGTAGGATTAGGACTCCTGGAGTCTAGTCCTGATCACCCAGATCATCAGGAAAATATCAGTTACATCCCTTCCCCTCCTGGCTTACTGTTTTAATCACCACCACCATCCCCACTCCCATTAATAGAGGCGATTTAACCAGACGACCTAGAAGTTTCCTTCCAGGGTCTCCTTTCATCTTTCCCTATGTCCTGATGCTCCCTGAGTGGTTTTAGAATACTGGTAAGTGTTTGTAGCCCCAGTGGGCCTGGCTCAGAGACTGGCCTTTTATTCCAATGTCCAGGCATGTCCACACGATTGAAGTAGCAACTTGGAGGGGCCCACTTTCTCTCTGTTCAGACTTCACTGGTCAGGGCAGGATGGGAGAAACATTCTTTGGCTTGACCTTTTAGTCCAAACATCATGTGACCTCATGGCACTCCCCCAGCTCAGAGTTGAAACAGGGCTCGAAGCCTCTGGCTCCCACAGTCACAGCCCTGCCCCAGGCATGGCCAGCGGGGAGCCTTCTGTGCAGTTAGTTGCTGGATTCCATAGGAAAAGAATGCAGCCCACGAGATCTTCCAAGCAGAACCACCCAAGTGTCCTTAGGCACATTCATGAGCACTAGCAATATGGAATTTCTTTTCAAATGTCAAAACTACAAAACAAATAAGCCTACTTACTTGTACATCTGAATTACTGAGCATAAAGGAAAAAAAACCTTGGATTCCATTCATGTCATTGTGTTTACAAAGCTAAGTCCAGAAATATGAAAATGACATTCCTCAAAGTCAGTGGGATACAAGATTCTCCTGTGTGTGTGTGTGTGTGCACGTGTGTATTAGGGGAGAGGGACTAATAGAGAGAACCTAGGCTTTCCAGCCAGGCAACGCTGGGTGAATCTGAGCTCTGCCTCTTGCCAACTGCATGACTTCACCCACCTTGCCTAACTTCTCTAAGTCTCTGTTTTACCATCTGTAAAATGGAGGCAGTAAATAGCATCTACCTCATAGGGTTGTGATAAGATTTATTAATACATATAAGGGATCAAATAGCCTCAGTAAGTGGTAGTTTATTATAATACTATGTTCATTTATAAAGACAGCGAATGGCAACTTATAAATACATAAGTGTGTGTGTGTGTGTGTGTATCTAAAGAGAAAGAAATGGGAAGGTCTTGCTTTTTGGTGAAGGTCCCATCCTTCAAACTTCATGATTTAATTTTGTCTATGTTCTATTATGACCGAGAGGTCCTGCTATCTGTCCTCCCTTACAGAAAGTTCCAGACATAAACTAAAACTGTATAACCTAAAGGCAACTTGGACGCATTTGGAACCACTGGGACCAATAGTGTTGTTCCACATCACCCCAATGGCAATGCCAATAGGACTATTATTAGTGCAGGAAACAATTAAGAGTAGTCTCCATGGTAAACTTGTTTTTCAATCTGAATGTCTCCCAGTTTACAAGACTATGATACAGTCAAGGTTTAGAGAACAATACCTACATAAAGCCTTCCAACCGCAACATCTCCAGGAGTGGGACTTGGTGTGAGAGCAGGGGAAACTGCTCACAGTAAATGTTTTCTGGGCTTCTAAGAGATTTTTTTCAATTATCTATTGCTGCATAATAAACCACCCCAAAATTTCATGTCTTAGAACAACAACAATCATTTATTAGCTAATGATTTTGCAATTTAGTCAGGTCTCATAGGGGCCAGCTCATCTCTGCTCCACGTGATGTCAGTGGGGGCTGCTCAGGGCTTGAAGATCCACACCTAAGATGGCTCACTCACAGAGTTAACACGGAGTTAAGATGGTGCTGGCTGTCAGCTGGGAGCTCAGCCAAGAGCCTTGATTCTTCTCCACATGGTTGCTTGGACTGCCTCATAGCACATTGGCTGTGTTCCAAAAGGAAGGAAGCTGAAACTGTGAAGCTTCTTAGAGCCTTGGCTCAAAAGTCCCCAGACGCCTTGACTCAAGAGTACCAAAAAGCACTTCCTGAACATTCTATTGGTCAAATCAGTCACAGGCTCAGCAGTTGCAGAGGAGTTATAAGCTCCACTTCTTGATGGGAGGAGTGGCATGTCCATACAAGGAGGGCAGAATAATTTGAGGTCATCTTCAGGGATGAGCTAGCACAGGCCTCTACCAGCCAAGGAAATCCCAACTAGCAGGTGAATGTCCAGGGTCTCATAATTAGGGGTCAGCTCCCCCCAAGGAAATGGGGGTTCCACAGGAGGCCCACTAAGTGGGGAACCAGCACAGAAAGAGGGAACTCTTTCAAGGTCAAAACCATATTATCACTGATTGTCTTGCAATGAAGGGGTGACGTGGGAAAAAAATGAAAAGAAAGAAAAAGCCAGCATGGAGTTTATGTGCCTACTTCATGCAATATGAAATTATTGTAATGCATCTTATTATTAGTACTAATTCAGATATTCAAAAATGCTGATTCGTTTTTAAATTGACCCAAAAATATAAATGATGTTTACTGATAAAGGCAGTTTGGCATAGCTATTAAAAGCACTGACTCTGGTGCAACACCATCCTGACTCGACAGCTTATTGACAGAGTGATGTTACAAAGTTGGATTAATATCTCCATGCATCATTTTCTTATCTGTAAATGAAGATTATAGTGCCCATCTCCTAGATCTGTTATGAGGACTGAATGAGTTGTTATATGTAAATACTCAGAAGAGCACAGTACCTGGAAATCCGTAAATGTGAGCTATTGTTTTGATAATATTCCATGCTGGGCACACACTAAGAACTGTATAAACATGACTTATTTATTTACAGTTCTTTATAAGCATCAACTAATCACCTATTGTGTGTCAGATACTACCTTAGACTCTTGGGATTCAAGAGGAATGAATCAGATAATGATTCCTGTTCTATGGAGTTCACATTCTGTGGGGTCTGGGGGAGACAGACAATAATCAAGAGGTAAAATAAGTAAGCACTGAAGTTAGACAGAAGATATGAGAGTATGTATTTAAAAAAATAGAGCAGAGTAGGGGACTAGAAAGTGGTGTTTGGGGGAAGAGGAACAGGGTAGGTTTCAGCCTTTTCCAGAGATGTTCGGTGTTTTCTAACCTGTAACAATGTACAGCCCAATATAACCTAGAAACCCCTGCTTCCAAGGAGCATTTCCAGAAATCCTCCTTCCCAAGGGTCCCCATAGTAGTTTAGGGGCAGTGGAGAAGAGTGACTAAAGGCACAGAGTTGATCACTTCTGAGCAAGTTACTAACCTCTCTTTGCCTTACTTTCCTCCTCTGTAAAATTGGGAGTGTCTCAGATGGATACGTTAAAGATGAAATGTGACATTACACTTGTCAAGCATCTAGACTTCTCTAGCATAAAGCATATGTTCAAATTAGGTTGTCATTTTCAATAAGGTGCTGAGAAGGGGGTTGAGGAAAGAAGGGGAAGGACCCTCAAATCAATCTCCTTCCCTCAGCCCCGGCCAGCCTTTCCCATGGCCCTGTCCTTCTCCACCTTGAAAGCTTCCCAACTAAGTGACTATAGATTATTCTAGACTTCTCTAGCATAAGCATATGTTCAAATCATGCTAATCCTCCCCTTCTCCTTTTAAGTGACACAGAAGACACTGTAACAAAAGGCTTGGTATTCAACTCTCTTTTTTTAGAGAAAAACTTTTGTGAGGAGATTGGAAAATCTATCAAAAGCCAAGGACCCTTTCTGGAAATATTTTCTCCAAGACTCAGAGTCTAAATGGATGTGTTGTTGGATGGGGAATGAAATACAGGGCAAGAATCATCTAGAGTCACTTAGTTGGGAGCTTATGGGGTGGGCACTCAAATCTCAGACAGGTTATTCTCTGAGACTCATGACACTGTTGTGGGGATTCTGTGAGGCAATGTCTGAAAAATGCTTAGCAGACACTCAGTAACTGACAACCATTATCATTTACATCATCAGCATCATCCCAGTGGGCAGGGAACATTGTGGGAAGAGAGCCCAGCCTTATCCATTATGGGACAGAAGTACCTACTATAGGCCTTCCTTATTTTGATAATAGGTCTATCTTCTTCATAGCATGTAGTCACAGGTCTTAGTTCTGCTTTAGGCTTCTCGTTATAACTCCAATATCTGAAGAATGTGCACTCTTGTCCCTTCCCCACAGCCACATGCAGGTCCTTCAACTTCACACTTTCCTGCTGCCCCTTCTAAGCCCTTTTACACTATCCTCTGAATATTGTCTTCTTTCACAATATCTTTCTAAAAGAGTAGAGACCAGAACCTTCCCAAGTACTTCAGGTATTGCCCAAGTGCTATATATCCAATGTCTACCAAGACACATGGCCATGAGGGATTCGTTAAAAAATGTTTTAAATATGTTCTAAACTCACTTAAAAAGATTATCTATGAAGGTCTTACTTCTGCAATTGAACTTTGAAACTTAAATATAAGACTTAGTTAATATCCATTACATATATACACATACATACACACACACACACACATGCACATTTTTTACATATATAGTATCATAGTTACATATTTTCATATTTTTCACTAACATTATATCTGGAAATATTTCTAATGCTGAGTACAATGATATGATGACCTTCATTAATCTATACAGAATACTTCATTTCTACTATTGGAGCTAAAGTAGTATCAGTTGTTTTTTGGGGATGTTGAGGGCTTTTTAACATCAGGTTGGGCTAGTGTAGAGTCACCTAAAATCTTAATTTTTTTCATAACAATTGTGATGAAGCCAAGTTCCTCCCATGCTATACTTGTGCAACCAAATTTTTTAAACCTAAATGTAGGATTTGGCATTCATTTCCATTAAATTGCATTTTGTTGTTTTGATCTAGACTCAAGGTCTTTTGAAATCTTGATTCTTGAATCCAGAAAGTGATCTGTCCAAGCTGTAAATCTAATCAATGTAATTTTACTTCCATCTAAGTCACTGAAGCACCCAAGGCCAAGAATAGAGGTTTTTATATGATCAAACAGGTATGACCTTGCTCAATATACGTGGATCTGCTTCCCTTTCCACCGATGTTTGTGGGAGTCTTGTTCTGGGACTATGTGGTCTACTAGATCCTGACCCTTTACTTTCCCACTTCCTTCATTTTACATTTCCCTGTTTAAACTTGAACCAAAAGAGGATCAATCAGGTCAAAGAGAATTGTATCAGTTTACTTTACTACTCTTTAGCAGATTTGGTGACAAAAATTCAACACAGAAGTTTGAAACAACAGAGAGAAAATAGGACTTTGGGGTTCACTAAATGTATAACTGGAAATGAAATACAGATCAGAAACTTGTTTGATGAATCTACTACTTCTTAGTCCCCAGTTTGGAGGACATGAAAGAGAAATGTCATGCACTCTCTGTAAACAGTCAACAAGCAAGGAAGAGGAGGAGGAGAATCCTGTACATGCCACTTTTTCTGAACCTCTAGTCTGGAGTTTGTGGAGTCATTTATGCGTTCATAAATGTCAAGCTCTTCCAGGCACATGGCAGGATTGCATCTCTCCACTTTTCATAGCCTTCCCCAGAAGCAGACACTATTAACTATTTGATATATACTTTTCTAGGCCTTTCTCCTATATGTCCACATATGAATAAATATGAATTTAAAAAATAACAAGAAAATATTTAGAAATATTAACCAAATTCCTCCCTTGTTGCAACTCTCCAAGTCAAACAGCTTGGCTCTTCTGTGCTTGTTGACACAGCGGGAGAAGGAAGAGAAAAAAGAAGTATAGGGGCTGTGAGGGTTTCCACTGGCTTTGGTTCTAAAACCCTTGGAATGAGGATGAATCCTATTATATATATTGACACACAAAGCCTTTGGAAAAACACAATAAATAAGAAAGGTGGAGGATTTGAGGACAGAGACTGACTACTTGTGACTTTCCTACCCTTTGACATTCCCCTGGAAGGTGGAGAGCAGGGAGACTGAAAGAAAATGGTGAAAATATACATTTTGGAGGATTCTAAAGGGAGGGGCTCAGCAGTCTGTCTTTGAGGCAGCATCCTGAGATAGACAGTTTCTCAGACATTCCAGTGCCCTTGTGGGGAACAGGCGCAGCAAAATGAGTCCTAGGCCTGAAGAAGGGTTTCTGTGTCCATGAACAGGGTGGAGAAGTAGAAGAGAGAACTTCTGGGGCTGAAAGGACAGAAAAACCGGTATGAACTGGATGACCAAGAAGCAGACAAGAAGATGGATATATTGTCAGATTCCTGTGTTAACAGATGACCTCCAGTATCAGGTGGACCAACTGCTGTCACCATCGCCTAGTTCCTTGTAATTCAGATGCAGTCCTGGAGAAAAAGAATAAGAAACTTCAAATTCATTGAGACTGTATATATGAGGTTGATGCCGTGGGGATCAAAACAGAAATTAGACTGAATTATAGAAAAATAAGAGAAGTTCTATTTCTTGTAATTCAGATGCAGTCCTGGAGAAAAAGAATAAGAAACTTCAAATTCATTGAGACTGTATATATGAGGTTGATGCCGTGGGGATCAAAACAGAAATTAGACTGAATTATAGAAAAATAAGAGAAGTTCTATTTCTTGTACACTGGAGTTAGAGACATACTACCCACCACACACACACGATTTTGTTTACATAAATGGTTATCATAATCTACATATTCTTCATATTTTTCATTAACAATATAGCTGGAAAAATTTCCAATGCATAGTATTGCATATATGTAAAGAATGTGATTTGTTAGTTATTACTTAACCATATCTTTAGTATAAGATATGTATGTAGGTTATTTCCAGTTTTTCCTGTTTCAACCAAGATTTCTGTGCATATTCTTATGTATGTAGCTTTGTGTTTGTATTTCTTTAGGATAGATTCCTTGAAATTATAGGATCAAAGGACATGTGAGTTTTGTATTTTGATACATACTGGCAATTTGCCCTCCAAAGTGACTCTATCAATTTGTATATTCTGTGACAGTTTTCCTTTGCTTTATAACCTCACAATCCTGATTATTATTAATTTTAATTTTTGAAAGTATGTTAAAAAATGGTTTACATTGTTCTTTTTAGTTTTATTTCCCTAACTGAGAGGTTTAACAACTTACATATATTTATTTGCCATTTGTATCTGGTGACTTATCTGTTCCTATTACTATCTTTTAACCCTGTGTTCTATTGAGTTTCTGTCTTACTGATTTGTAGAGTCTCTTTATACATTATGGATATCAGTAATCAATTATATACACTGTGAAATTTTCCTCCAAGTTAGTTGCTTTTCTTTTAGTTCTTTAGAGAATTTCCCTGAACTTAAAATTAAAGTCTTTATTGTAGTCAAAACTGTTGATCTTTTATAAATGTCTTAATTATGGATGGCTTTTTACTTCAGCATTATAAAACTAAATATTTTACATTTTCTTTTAACACTATCATAGATTCAAATGCTTAAGTCACTTTAAAGCATATTTTTCCAAATTTTCAATGGATTTTGTTTACCAAATGTTTTCCTCCTATCAGGCCCGTGGCAGGTTGGCCTACACCCTACGGGAGCACTTGCTCCAAATGTGCAGTGTGATAAGGGTGAAAGTTGAAATGGTATTAAATGCTACAGAAACACTCACAGAAGTTAAAAAAAAGGGCTACATGGGCAAGTTGATGTCAGCTATACTATGAAAGACAAAGAAGGGTTTGACAAACAGGAAAGTGAGTAAGAAACATTCCAGGAAGATGGAATAGCAAACACAAAAACACAGAGGCCCCAAAAGAGCAAGGCATGTTTGAAGAATGTGGCCGTATCTTAGTTTGAAATAGCTTGAGTATACAACTCCTGGGCATGTGGCAAGAGGTATAACTGGAATGTTAGGACCACATTGTGAAGGGCCTTGAAATATGCGCATTACTTAATGAACTTCCGAGTCATCATTGGGACCAGGATCCACTAAATAATCACAAATTATCTGAGAGTGGGGAAATGGATGAAGATATAAATGAAACAAGACTGACCAAGAGTTGATAAGTATTGAAGGTGGATGGTGGTTATACAGAATACATTAAGCCATTATCTCTCTCCACCAATACATACATTTGGAAATTTTCATGATACAAATTTGAAACAACAAACAAAAATCATCTTATGCAAGGACATTCTTTGATATAAGATTGGAAGGTTTTTGTTGTAATTCTCATTGTTAATAGCATTGTCAAGTTAAAAAAAACAGGTTATAGTTTAGTAAACTACAGTTGCATTTATGGTAAGTAGAGACAAACCTACAAAACCAGGCACCAAAATATTAATAGGGTTCACCCTCTATGTGAAAGAATTAAGGGCATCATTTTATATTTTTCTCTACTACTGTGTAAATGTTATATATTGAATTGTATTCTTTTTAAAAATCAGAAAAACAGATTTTCACTTAACAAAAAAGTAAAAAATTTAATTATAGAAGAATTATTGATATGTCCACATGTTAACTCTACTAAAAATAGTATTTAGGAAGAAAATATGTTAATTAAGGCAAATTTTTTTCCTATAATGCCAACAAAAATAAGGGATGAAATCCGTATCAAATAGCACTATAACTATATATAAGGGAAATGCATACACATATGGAAAGAAATTGGAAGGATAATACCAAACTACCAACAATGGCTATACTTGAGTAATGGGACTATATTAATTTATACCCCACCCCATTTTTCCTTATGAAGCACATATCATTTCTATGACTTAAGAAATGTAAAATGAAAAACCAAAACAGTAAACCCTCATATCCTTCCTTAAACTTTTGACTCCAGAAAAAATATAATCAAAGATTAAGCAGCAAGGTATTAAAAAAAAAAAACACTTCAGGTTAATTGTAAAATATGAAATTTCCCTCCTCTTCCTAGTTTTCACCATTTGGTACATCCCATCTTAGGAGTCTGAGAGTTCAGACTTCTAAAAGACAAAACTAACTGCCAAACCAGATTTCTAGTAGATCTAAAAGGGTATTAGATAATCTTGTTAATATATCACCATAAAAATCTAATAAATAATCTCATTTTTCTCATATACAACACTTAATAATATAATTGAATTGATTTATAGTTTGTACATAACTTAAATGCAAATGTTCAATAGAGAACACACCCTCTTTTCAAATATTCATGGAGAGTCACAAAACTTGAAAAAAATTCAAGAGTTCCATAAAGTAGAGATAATACCAAAAAATTTTGATCACACTGCAATTACAAAACAATTGAAGAATTTCTAATAGCATTATAAAGAAAACTGTTACATTTCAAAATTTGTGAGATATTATTATGACAATAGAGGGAAATTCACTGCCTTAAATTATATAAATATGACACTGAATATGAATGAACTAAATTCTCAACTCAAAAGGCTAGAAAAATCCAAACAGACCAAAAAGAAAGAGATAATAAAGGTAAAAATATAAATCAATGTATTATAATATAGTCATGTAATTAAAACTTCTTAGAAAAAAGTCATTGAAAGAAACATAGCCAAGTTTTGAAAATGGAGAAAATTTAAGAATTCTTATTTAGTGGAGAAACAAGAGAGCATTCTTTCTAAGGTCAGGAATAAGATAAGGAAAGCCATTGTCTCTACTACTATTTAACAGTGTTTTGGAAATATTAGCCAGTTGATCAGACAAGAGAAAACAATTACAACTAAGAGGAAAATGCAAGTAAATCTATTTCTACATACAGATGTTATGTGTGGAAGACCCAAGAGAATCAATGTTATAACAAAGACATTATTAAAGAATTCCTTAATATAGTGGAATATAAAACTGGCATACAAAAATCAATTGCCAACTGCCAGTGAATTGCTACTGCTCTTCAAGAGGATAAGCAGCTAGCCCCAGAAGTTAAATCAACAATACCACTAAGCACACTACTGAACAATTTTTTTAAAAAAGAAAAATTTCCTAATTACTGAAGAACATAATTAATTGACTTACATGAAACTAAAAGTAGAACCCAGATAAAGCGAATAGGTAAATATCTTAATGTTAATAGGAACTGAGATTTTCAGTGTAAGAAAGATATAAAATAAAAAAGAGTATGGGAAAATTCTGTAATGTTTAAATTTGAATTAGAAATATCAGTATCAGCTTAAAATTTAAAAGATATACTTCTTAATTCTGTCTAAAAATCACCACAATAAAAATGAGCACACCTGGTGCCAAGATCTTAGTGATTTCCAGACACCATACTCCAGAGCTCTGTGGAGAAATGGCTAATTCCAGGTCTTGGAAGGGAAAGTACAAGATGACTGTGAGATCTTATGCCAAAAAATCAAGAAAGTGTTCAAATACTGTTAGAGCCATATCAAAAAGAAACAAGAACAACTTGGAGAGGATCCTACCTGCCAAACTTGGAACAATTTGAATATGAGAAACAATAATTATTAGTGCTAAAAAAGGAATTCAGCAAGGTATTAGGATACAAGACCAATATACAAAAATCAATTACATATCTGTACACTAGCAATGAACCATCTGAAGATGAAATTAAGAAAACAATTCCACTTACAATTGCATCAGATGACCAAAACACTTATGAATACATTTTTTAAAATAGCAAAAGACCTATACACTAAAAATTACAAAACATCATTGAAATAAATTGAAGAATTAAATGGAAAGACATCAAATCTTCATGGATTGGAAGACTCAATGTTGTTAAGATGGCAATACTCCCCAAATGGATCTACAGATTCAACACAATCCGTATCAAAATTCCAGATGTCTTTTTTGCAGAAATTGACAAGGACAAGCTGACTCAACAATTCATATGGAAATGCAAAGAACCCAGAAGAACCAAAACATTCTTAAAAGAGAAGAACAAAGTTGGAGGACTCACATTTTTTACTTCAATATGTACTACAAAGCTACAGTATCAAAACTGGATGATACTGGCATAAGGATAGACAGATCAATGGGATAGAATTGGGAGAAATAAAACCACATATCTATGGCCAGGTGATTTTCTACCAAGGTACCAAGACAATTCAATGGAAATGGAATAGCCATTCCAAAAAATGGTGCTGAGACACTGGCATATCCACATGCAAAAGAATTGTTGGATTCCCTACTTCACACCATATACAAAAATTAACTCAAAATAGATCAAAGACCTACATGTAAGAACTATAAAATTCTTTTAAGAAAACATAGGGGTAAATCTTTGTGACTATGGATTAGGTAATGGTTTCTTAGATAAGATACCAAAACAACAAAAGAAAAAAATAGTTAAACTGGACTTCATCAAGATAAAAAACTATGTGCTTCAAAGGACACTATCAAAAGAGTGAAAAATAA